CGATCCTATGAGATATTTACCATAAAAGATATTGAAAACCTCGTGAAGCAGGGGAGCCTCAGCAGAAAAGAAAAATTTCGATATATATTTTCATTGTATATTGTATTGTGCTGTCTCGGGCCGAATGAAGAGATAAATAATGTGCTCACCGGCCTTGGAAAAACTGGGTTCTGTGTTGCAAAAAATGTTCTCCACCGTTCCCTAATACAAAACGGGAAATTTGTTCGGGATCGTAAAGAATGTGTGCTGTGGGAACTGTGCGGCACAGCTCGGGTTACGAGCCGTTTTCAGTCTTTCTCAGATTTTACTCGTTCACCAAAACGTGCCCGCAATTCGTCCGTGACGAAAATTACCCCCTCCTTTCTCCCTTTCACGATTCTTTTCGCGTATTCTCGACGAAAATCGCTTCATGGAATTCGTGGAGAATCTGCTCTCCTTTAATCTTAAATAATCGCGACGAGTGTCTCTCCTCAGAAGCGACCGCAAACGTTAAATTCACTCAAGGATGATCCAAGAGCAGGGCGTACGCTTTTGCAGAGAGAGAGAGAGAGAGAGAGAGAGAGAGAGAGAGAGAGAGGTACGTTTTCTCTCTTTAATCGCTCCTTTAAATCTCTTTAAATAACTTTATTCGGATAAAAATATTATACTTAGATATTTCTTGTGTGATACTCGAGTTCGTAGGCGTTCAGAGTGCACGACATACGATGCATCTGTCAGCGTCAATAACGACGAGCCATTCTCGAGCGCTCCGCGCCGCACCGTGCAGCATGTGTGCGCGCGGCCTGTATATATTTCATAATGAGAAGTATCGCGATTACAGCGCGATCACTATTATTCGGCTGTGCACGTATCGCGGTGCTAACGAAGCCACGTCATCCGACGTCAGTCGGCTCCTCCGCCGCCACGGAGGTCTCCGACATTTATCTCACGCTTCGGATCTGCTGCTCTCTCCCTCTCTCCCCCTCTCTCTCTTTCTTTCTTTCTCTCTCTCTCTCTCTCTCTCTCTCTCTCTCTCTCTCTCTCTCCCGAGTGTGCACACTGTGCCTCTCTGACGTTATCGTTCGCCATTCAGGGACGGCGTTTGATTCGAGAGATCGAGCGACCTTCGTCGGAGCGGCGTACGATTCCGGTAACGACGAATCATCGCCGGCCTCGAAATCGTACCGATCGTTCCGACTGGCGTGCTCGCTAAAGGAAAATGCCATTACCATACGTTCGTTCGTTCGGCTCGTGTCCCGCGGTGGGCTCGCGCCAAGGATACTCTACGACGTGGTGCCTCTCTCGCCTCTTCATCCTCGCTCCTCCCCCGCTCACGGCCTCCTGCCCCCGGTCTCTCGTATTCCCGCGTCGCGTTCTCCTGGGGTCTCGGAACAAAGCGCGCGCGCTCGCGTCTGGAAAAGCGCGATCAAGGTGCCGCTTTCGAAACGAGAGTAATCACCGCGGGGTTGCGCGGCCGCGCGCCGCGTTCGGTGGATTCTAACGAACCCGGATCCTCGATGGAAAATCACGATAGAGCCTGGATTTCCATTCGCGAATAACACACAGAGCGTGCGATATCATTCCTCCATATTCATGATTTCATAAATGATTTTATAAACTGCTTTGCAACTGAACTAAAAAGTTCTTCGCTCACCTTCACGTCGTGTCTCCGACGTAAACGTCGAGACTGAACGTCTTATATATCGTTACACAACATCTCTAATTCTTAATTATATATTACAATTGCAAAGTGTTATATATTATCTTATATAATTAATCACTTATCTTAATCAGTTATAAAAATTCAGAATTAATTATTTGTACGGTGAGGTGCGCGCGCGCTGTTTGCACGCTGTTTGCACGCGACCGTAACGGGGACGTGCGACGGGCCCGTCGTCCCGACGCTCTTATCCTGATTCCATTGTCGGGCCAGGACTCAGGTCGGCTGGCTGGCTGGCTGGCCGGTCGGCACGGAGTTTGCTCAAATGCTTTGCACCTGCGTCGCGGTGCGCGGCTCAAAACGGAGCGCGCCGCGTCCATTATCATCGTGTCGTGTCGCCGCGCGCATTCGCCCGCCTCAAATAAGTAAACACTAAATATTTATTCGGGCCGCCGGATATCTGTCCGCGCTTTCGTGAGGGACCGCCGCCAGGACTCCGTGGATCTCACGTCGTCGAGGACGCGCGCCGTTCTCTCGCACCTCCGAAATTTTCCGCCTGCATTTTTCCACGTTTCCCGTCAAACTTGACGGACTCACGTCCGCGTTGACATCAAAGAGTGTACGGTATTTGTGACTATAGTTGCACAAAGAAGTAATTATAGTCATGAAACCATTTCAGCGTACGGAAGGAATATTATCAGTTTTTTCCAAATAAATTCCTTTGTTTAGAATTTTATTAATTAAATTTTATTATTATATTACTTATTATTATTGTATTATAATTTTATTATTATTCTAATAGAAATATATTATATTAATATATTATATTATGTAAAATTTACTAAGTTTATTATTATGTTTCTCTCTTTAGTAATACAAAAAAGCAGACTGCCAATAGGGCCTGTTCTACTAAAGAATATAATAAATTTCGTTTCCTAAGATATAAATAACACATATGAAATGAAAGGATAATGAATCACTGCAGAATGTCGATCTATTCCTCAGTTACGAAATTCTATAGTAATTCTATAGAAATTCTATAGTAATTTTTCTTATAAAATTCTCTCCGTGTAATAAGTGTCACTGTAATATTAATGATAATAACGCTTATTGAAACTATATTTACTTTATGTTGAAACAAGAAAGAGAATAGAATTGACTTTGAGAATGATTAAGATTTTAATCGAATTAGTCTCATTTTTCTTCTCTTACTGCGAATCGCTGTGTATCGAAGAGTCCCATCGATTATTCTGTCGCAAAAAAAGCATCCGACGAAGCTCAATAATATATAATTATATCCCGTTAATTATTCGCATTTACGTGTCCTAATTACAAGCGTAAACGTCGAAAGGATATTACACGGTCGTCGCGTGGAAGAACACGCGACTGAAGAAATTCAACTGGACAGTTTGACTGGTACACCTCCGGTTGTACAGGAGAGTGAATATTTATATCCGCGTTATTATACATCACATTATCGAGTCGAGATGATTTATACTCGCGGGTGTCGCGGCTCGTGCACGTGTGCGTGCCGTCGCCGTCGTCGTCGACGGGCGTTAATCCAAGGCGTTCGAAGTTCACCGACGTATTTCCGTCGCGCGCAGAGCCGCCGCGTAAATCAAGAGAGGAGAGAGATTAAAGAGATCGTTACGTATTGTAATCTGTGCGCCTTGCGCAGGATTAAGCGCAAGGGAGATAACGAGATTTCCAGAAGTCATTCCATCTATCTCCTGCGAAATAGCGGTTATACTAGTTCCCCGCGGTCGGCTCGCATGTACGCGCCCACGGGCGACGGCGAAGATCCGTAAAAACGAAGTCAAAGACTCGGAGAAAACGCGGCTGTAAACCACGGGAAAGGGACACGATCCTCTTCTCGCTTCTTCGTTGCGGCGTGGGCGCCGAGAAAGGAACATACAGAGAGAGAGAGAGAGAGAGAGAGAGAGAGAGAGAGAGAGAGAGAGAGAGAGAGGGAGGAGAGACCGAGGAAAGAGTCGACCCGTAATATCGTAACTGGTGAGAAAAGTGGAAACGTCGATAAAAATAAAATTATCGCCGGATGAGATGGTTTTTGCTCGACCGTTGCTTCTCGGCTCGCGAGATAGCATTTGCGAGCGAACTGAAAATCGCTCTTCGGGATGAAAGTGCAGACGCTGGTAACGAGTCCGCATTAACGGGCCCGAGTTGCGGCTCTACTTGTGTCTCCCGCATACACAGCGAAGCTGAATATCCAGGGTTTCCTTCGATTCCTTTTTGGTTCCCGGCGAATTGCGCAATGCTCTCGATGTTTTCTCGCCGAAATCACCGTGTCCCTTATTCACTCATTACTCGCGCGCGCTCTCTGAAATTCTTAATTACGAACGTGCTCGAAAGTCGAGCGGCGCAGCGCTCGCGAGAGCGCATAACGCTTAATGAGATCTCGGCGGGAGGAGAGAAACGACTTCGGGATTCGTTCCTCTCGTGGCAGAAGTCCCCGACTCCTCGCGGACGGAAGAGCTCGCAACACCGTGTACGTAGCGGCAAGGCAAGCGGCGGATATGAGAGCAGGACGAAAAGAGAGTGGCTCGGGTAGTAAACGCGCGGGGCGAGAAAAGGAACAAAACGACCGGTAGCCGCCGGTGGATGCTGGGATCTCGCGGATCTCCGTGATGCGCGTCGCAAACTCATCTTGAACCACTACCGATATGAGGGGGAACGCAAGACGGAAAGACAGCAGAGACGCGAAGCGTGGGAGTGCGGTACAGAAAGAGAGAGAGAAAGAGAGAAAATCGGAGAGTCCTATAAAAAGCTATCGTGCCTGACCTCCCGCAACCGAGGCTTTTCGCTGCCGAGCGTAACGCGCGATACTCGCTCTGTGCACGAGATCAACTCGCGCAGTCATTTGACTTAAAGAGATACACCCGAAACAGCGAAAATGCACAAGCGCGATCCTTTCGGGGGGAAAACTGTAAGTAAGGAAATTAAAAAAATATGAAGCATATCGATGCGTTTCTTCGCAGTCGGGAACTGAACGCACTTTCTCTTTCTCTCTCTTTCTTTCTCTCTTCTTCTCTCTCTCACCGAGTGAAATGTTATTCAACAGTCTATGTATACTTAGCAAACGCTTCAAAAATATCATTCACTTAGAAAAAAACGTATATATGTTCACATATTTTATATATGCAAGAGATATGAAAAATAAAATCATATATATATATAATATATATATATATATATATATATATATATATATATATATATATATATATAATTTTATTTTTCCTTTTGTTTCTCGTTTTTTGTACTTTACATTGTTTCTTGTGTGCCAAAGTGACATATTCCCGTTTAATTAAATTAATCGATCAATCAATTATGTTTGTTTCAGGTTATTCCTTACTTTGAAGATGTAAAGTGCTCGCGAAAGGTCGGAGACAAATCTACAAAGGACCCAGGATCAAACTAGGAGCCAGAAACTAAGTACATATATTTTTATATGTTAGATATTAAATAGAGAATAGATAACACTACCGTCAGTAATTATAAAATGAAGATTTCGTATAGATAGTATATCTGCTGCATATTTGTTATTTCGGCTTCGTGTACGCGTCTTGAGCAGATTTCTAGTTTACTTAGAAGTAAGACAGACCCTGTCTCTGTATCGAGGCAGGGAGAACCGGCCGCCGAGAATAGTCTCGAAATTTTCGCGAGCGCAAGGAGTCGGAGGAGATGCGCGCGGATGCAACGGATCCTCTCTCTCTCTTTCTCTCTCTCTCGCTCGCTCGCTCCTCTCTCGGATGCGGTGCAACTTCGTGGCCGCGAAACTGGCCGTGGCGGAGTATATGCGCGATGGAAAGAGAGAAACGGAGATAAATTGGCGGTAGGACGAGGAAAGAGAGAGAGAACGAGGATTCGCGGCGTGATGTTGGCGCGAGGGAGGAGGGAAAGGTACAGACTCGAGAAGAGGGAGCTCGCAAGAACGGGAAGAAGAGAGAGAAAGAGAGTGAGAGAGCCTTGAACCCCGATGCGGGACGAAGGACGAAACACTAAAAATATCCGCGCAAAAATCACCTCGACACGGTGCAACGGATTTAATGGCGGTTCGGCATGCAAAATCTTTCGGAAACGATGCACCGTCTCACTCTCTTTCTCTCTCGCAGCCTCACTGACTCGCGGCGGACTTGAAGCCGCAGCGAGAGGTCCCGGAAGTCGCAGTGCGTCTAATAGGATCACCGGCTGTCCCGAGTCTCGGAAAAGACCGGATAAGAACCTTCCTTTCTCCGTTCCTTTCTCCTTCGAATTGCTCCAACAGTTCATTCGTCTCCGTTCATGAATATGACGAGAAAGAAACGGATCGCGGAGTAAAAATTCTGGATGTTCACACATTAGAAAAAATGAAACTTAATTGCACAATGAAATAATTATGACCATAATTATTTCATTACGCAATTATAGTCGCGCGTATGCTGAACGCTCTTTTTGCACTGAGAGGATATTATAGTTTTTTTCGTTTGTATAAATTCTTCTCAATTTTATTATGTTCTCAACAGTGGAGGGAGCAAAGTTGTGTCAGCAAAATCTATCTTGCCAAGGAACACACGGCAAATTTCTCTAGAAACGAAGCCAATTTCGCACAGAGACACAGCAAAATTTTAAACGGCGCATCGATGTTCCGAAAATTGCGGCAATGAAATTTCCTCGCGTAACCCGTTTCGCGACGCTCGCCAGGCACATGTCCACCGACGCGTCCGCGCGCGCTCTCGACCTTTAAGCGCCACGCGCGCCGCGCTGCATCGGGAACGAGGCGCGTAAATCGCGCCAGTTATATTTAGTGATACCAATGCGACTATCGCGCGTAGTTTCGCCCGGCGTGCAAACATCGGCGGCCGAAATTCGAGCGTAAGAGTCCTCGAGCGAGTCGGTTGACGCGGCTATAATTATTCCGCTACTCTCGCTAATACCAGCGGCATTTTTTTTTCCAACGTGTCCTCTGCGCGACGCACACGTTTTCTCCCGCGGGAAAGCGATCATGCCGCGTTTCCTTACGTTTCCCTGGACGCTCCTCGCCCCCTATTCCTCCGCCTCCGTTCCTGGTCAGCAGCGGCAACGGCGGCTGCAATCTTTTCTGTTCAAGCATCGGGCCGCCGCCGATACATCCATACAGCTGTCCGCGACCGTCTGTCTGGCCGCTTGTGAAGGTACCTGTCTGACAACGTCCTTACCTGCTTGTCCGTACGTCTGCCTGACTACCTGCTTGTGCCTGCTTGCAAGCTCGCTCGCCTATCTCTGCCTTTTCGCCTGCCTACCTACGCATAACTACCTACCTACCTACACCTACCCGCCTATCTTCTCACTTACCTACCAACCTACCTACTAACCGCCGTCGTCGTCGACGACGACGAACCTGCTCGGCCAGGAGCGCAGATACGTATCTCGTCCGTGTCGCCCGCAGCCTACAAGGGATCGATCTCGTTTCGTCGACACGATACGCTGAAGGAAAAAATGGTTAATCTGAAGGAATAAAATGGTTAATCTGAAGGAATAAAATGGTTAATCTCACTAAAAATTATTGTTATTTTTGGCGCCATCTTCTTGTCGTTTCAGTAAGAAATGAGTTTAATTGCAATGCACAAATTATTATCACTAATGTTACAAAAATGGTCCTCCCAATCATAATGCTCTTATTGTGTGATTATAGTGACAGATATCAAATTTTTTTTTCCAGTGTACGAGACAGCAGCATACAACCGGGCTTACTGGTCTCGTTGCGCGCTCGTCTCCACCAACGAGTTCAGACGAGGGCGATTAGAAACGCATGAGGACGCGCGAGGCAGACACGACGAGAGAGCTCGTTCGGCTTGTGTGGTCGCGAGCTCGCGAAACCGATCGTGACACTCGCGACTCGACATCATCTCTTGATGGTTGCGGGAATTATTTTTCAATTACGACATAATTAAAATGACTAGATTTCCCAGCCCCAAATATCGATGTATGTATACGTATGTATGTGTATAAAACACAAAATATTTTATTCAGATACATAAAATATAATTTAACAACAATGAAGACTTGCATACAGTAAAAATAGAAACTATTGTTAAGACAAAACTATTGTTATTCTTACTTAAAATTAAGGAAAAGCAAGCTACTATATTTACTAGAGTTGTAAATTCTCTCGAGGAAGTTTCTTTGAGAAAAGTTTCTTTGTCAGAAAGGTTTTAGATATCCTTCAAACCGGAATAAAGCGGGAGTTTGGACCAGTTTGGTCGAATCCGGAACAAATCGGTGTGCCGGATAACATTTGAAAAAATCCGGGACAAAGAACGAAGAACCGGGACTATTCTAGGAAAAGAGGGACATCTGGTCGCCTTACATAATTCCCTTCATCGTAGGAGACACGATTTTCTCGAGCGGAAAACCATACCGAAAGAGAGAAGAGTAATTTCAAGACTTGCTCGGGTCAAATGAAAGGATAACTTGTAGAGCTCATGAGATTGGCCAGAGCAATCCTGTCTGATTTCGCGTCCGTTGCTACATCTACGCGTAATCGCAGGACTCGTTGCGAGGGAAATCCACGAAAGTCGCGCGTTTCGCAAATCGCTCCAGCCGCGTGGCCGCGGTCGAGGAAAATAACTGCGAGTCGCGCGTCAAAATGCGCATAAATCCGAAAAGCTAACACGCGAGAGAAACGATTACCAAGGACACAAAGTGCTCCGCGCAATACACGGGCGGATTACACGGTCGACGACGGCGTCGTTAAGAAATAACGCTACGCGCGATAACGATCATCGACGGTTGACATAAATCGTGCAACTCGCAATCGTAAAACACGCGTTGCAGCTAACGCGCTTGGATTAGCGCGTCGAGCGATTGTGCAACGTGTGCGCGCGCGCGCGCGTAAATTGCCGCAACGTGTTTGTTTTAGCGAAATTTTCAAAACCGAACTCGCGTCGTTCTCTCACCCATCCCTCTCCTACCCTTTCTCTCTCTTCCTCTCGCAATCGACCGGTTACGCGTCGTACAGATCGCGGATATAGATAAGCGGAAGGCTACTGTGGACGAGTGCACGTGCTCCGTCGTATTTCTCTTTGGCACATGCTCTTCTAATGTTGCACATCGGCCCGCGAATAACCTAGGCCCCGTAGACACTTCAACCGTGAAGAGTTCTTGATACGCGAGCGTGTATACACGTCAGTTAGGTATAGTTTAGCGTCATCACGCTTTGTCTTCGCTATCACTTGATTGCGCGATAACGAATCGGACGCCCCTCTTTTCAGCCCTCCTTTGTTAAGTTTTCAGAATGATATCATATAATATTTTGTATTGTATTTTATTTCATTGTTTTGTATTGTATTGTATCGTAATAGACACATATAAAATTTAATACTATTTAATTATATCGTGTAAAAATGTATTACATTGACAAACAATAAATATAATATTAAAACAAAATAGTTTTTATTTAAATCCCTCACTTTCTCTAAATACTTTCCTGTCAAGATCCGTCCAATTTAGAAAATTGAAAAACTTTGAATACCTCACTGGACGTTGATCTATACTACTTGAATTAGTTTTTAAATACTCCACTTTTTACTCATTACATTCTGTTGATATAAATCTATTAATTGTTGTATAAAAGCTAATTTGGATTTATATTCTAATATTAGGAAAACATGATGAGAGAAGAGGTAACCTGAACTTTCGGCGGGAAACTTGAAATTTGAAAATTTCAGTTTCCTCGATTTTCCACATTTCAGTTTTGTCGACTTTCGCATTTTGGTATCAGGAGAACATGATGAAAGAAGAGATAACTCAAACTTTCGGCATCAGAAGAATATGACAAGTAAAGCGAGTTCAATTTTTTGGCGGGAATTTTGAAAACTTGCTAAATCCTTTTAGTTTTTTCGATTTTACTCATTTTTATTTTGTCAATTTTAGCATTTCGATACGTGAGGAACGTAATGAGAGAAATTATGTGATACGAATACAAAAAATTTGTTTGAGAGAGATTGTTATCTATATTTTTATTCAATGTAATATATACAGAACATACAATATGGTGTAATATAATACAATATAATATAATTTCTAATATTCATATGTCACAAGTCTAATTCCTCCTCAACGATCGAATGCAAGGAACGTTCAGCATCCGTCCTCTCGAGCCTCTGGTCCCTTCGATCTTCTCGGCACGCTCACAACACGTGTATCTCATCTGCAGCAGTTCAACGTTGAATTAGACTAGACCAACGCGCGTCTATGCTATACTTGCCTTAACTCTGCCTCAGTCTTTATTATCCATTCTGCCGCGCGAGGATCTCTCTTCCCGAGCACGCTGTTGAAACTGTCAAGGAAACGCTCGATTTACGACACTGAGTCTTTAATGAGCCGTACCGAAAGATTTAGTATTTTGAGTTACAACTCGGCTCGGCTCGCGGCAGCGATAGATAAAGATAGTGACAGAGGAAGGCGGCAGGGAGAGGGGGAGTGGTCCGTTTATCCACGTGCAGACGTATCGGACGTATCTCCTTCGGCCGCGCGCGCCCTCCGATTATTTGCACCATCGTAACACACGTGTCCATCGGCAATGCCAGCGTGCTAGAATGTTCAATCGGAACCCGGGCGTGTGCGGCCGCGTGTGTCGCAAAGCGCGTGTTATACTTGTCACCGCTACCGAAGCGGTGACCGCGATGCAACCGAGTTGCACATGCATATAAATGCAGTCGCGCGTGCGTCGAGAGAGGAAGAGAGAGATGGATGAGAGGAAAGCGGGAAAGGGAAACGGAGAGAGCCTGAGGGAGAAAGAGAGAGACAGAGAGAGAGAGAAGGAGAGAGAAAGAGAAACGCGGACTGCTCTCGAACGATGCAGCCGGCGCGCATGTATGCGATGTAAACAGTACGGTTGTGGAAGCCCTGACCGGCCGGGTGCAACGCCACCGCGGACCTTGAGCGATTATTTTACTGTGAACTCGCTCTCGGGTGCGCGCGCTCCGGCAGCTCCGTTTTACGTGCATCGCATTTACGAGTGGCTCCGAACGAACACAGAGAGAAAGAGAGAGAGAGAGAGAGAGAAAGAGAGAGCGGTTTTATGCGATGTGCACTTTGGAGAGAGGCCGTCGCGAGGAACCGCGAAACGATGCGCACCTTCGAAATGAAAGCGGCGCGACGATGCCGCGCGAGAGACATTGACGCGCGGCACGTGTGTTTGAAAAGCGACCGAGTGTGGGACGCGTTTATACGGAATCGATTGCTCGATCGATATTTTGGTAATGTATTTTTAACGATTGCGCTACCAGCGTCACATATGTGACGGCAAAATTATTTTTCATGTCGATATTATCAGACTAAGGCCCGTATTAATACACTAGGAGAGGAAATATCTGAAAAATACAAAATACTTATTCGATGGGTATTAGTAAAATATATTTACTTACATTAATGTAAAATGTCTTTTAAATATAAAATATAGATTCTTTTATATAGATCCTTTTGGGACTTTAGCTTTTCACGGAAGCACTGTTTATTCTATTTAAGTAAAAAACAGATTATTTAAGCAAATATGTTATATCCCCACCGAATAGATATTTTTTATTTCTCATATATTTCTTTTCTCACATGATGTAGTTACTATGCAAAACTTCAAGTGAGAATTCAGATATTTGAATTCAGAGATGGATGGGAATTTTTAATTACAAATATGAATGTCACATATATCGTATAATTCAACTGAGAGAGAAACTTGGTCCTAATTCTGAATAAAAGAATCTGAGCATCACGAGGCAAGCTTCAGCGATTGATACAGGCTTAAGTCTGCTACACAATTACTTGGAAAAAGAATGAAACGCGGAGAATTCTCCAAATACACTGTGGCAACGAACGTGTTGAGCTACGGTGAGGAATGACACACGTTCAGAACTCTCTTTTTCTCTCTTTCTGCCTCTCCCTCCCTCCCCCTCACTAAAACGGGAGGAGTGTTAACGTCCTAAAGACGGTACGGAATTTGAGCATTAATTTTAGCCGATTTTGCGCGCGCGCGTCATTGATGCCGCTCTCTCTCACTCTTTCGCACGCGTGACTCGTTTGTATTTACGCGCTCCTCGATAAACCTTCATATGATAGACGCTGCACGTCGTGGGCAGTTTTATTAGCTCGATTTCGATCTTCTCTATTAATAACAATCTCGAATATCGCTAGTCAATTCGGATGCAAGTATCTCTTGCTCCTTCTCTCTCTCTCTTTCTTTTCTGGAAGGAGAAGGGAGAGAGAGATCGAGGGAACGGCATCTCGACCTGCATCGCGGCGCTCCTCCGTCCACGGCTCCAAAAATACGCGTCCGCACCATCGCCGTCGCCGCCGCCGCCGCCGCCGCCGCCGCGCGGTGACGTATCGGCTAAACGAAGGAAAACACAGCCGCGGGAGTGTTGTTTCAATCATCGTGCCAACGAGAAAGAAATCGCACTCGGAAAATATTTATCTTCTGTAGCGGCGGTAAACGACGAGTCCGATCGTGGAAAGGCGCGCGCGCGGTCGGGACCACCGCGAGAGAAAGAGAGAGAGCCGCGGTAGTGTGTCATCCGTTTGATCCGACTTCGCTGCGTCGTATCAATCGGTACGACGCTTACGCACCCCGCGGTTATCGCGGAGCGACAACTACGTGCGCTGGCTACCTCGGCGCGCATACAGGCCGTCGAGACGATGCAGGCCTCGGCGCGGAAAGGGCGGAAACACGAGCAGAGCATACGGGCACGATAGAATGAGATCGAAAGCGCGGCACGTTTCCACGCGCGATCGCGAGGCACCGCTATTAATAGCTTACTGCGCGTTATTATCACGTCGATGAGCGGCGTCGTCGTCGCGCGGCGACGATGCTCAGGGAGAGAGAAGAGATCCGAAAGAGGAGGAGAGACGACGGGCGCAACGCGGATCTTCCTCGTCGTCGTCGTCGCTGTGCTCCGGGAAATCCTCCGCGCGATTATAGATTGCACTTACCTCGGGGGTCCGAGCCGCGGGCAAGCGCGTCTCTGGTGCGACTGGAGCAGTCTTGCTCGATTCCAGCAGGGCTGCTGGACGGAGCTGGGAAGAAACGGATGCGACTCGGAATCGTGTTCCCTCTCCCGTCCCGAGCGGATATGCGGCTTTTGCGGCTTCTGTGACATGGACGAGCGCACTCTATGCGTCTCGTTATCACTGAGGACCTTGATATACTGCTTCTCGGAGAAAAGCAACTTTTTGTGCAATTTTTTTCCCATATAACTTCATTTCTTTTGCATTTTTTCTGAGGTAGCTTTATCTCAAAAATGATTACTGAGACATAAGCAATGGTATTAGCATAACGAATATTGTGAAAAAATGTTTCTAAAGAGATTTCTTGCAATATCGAGAAAAGCGACTTTAATAACACGCATATTTAAATTGATCGATCAAAATCGAGTTGATTATAGTTAGCATGACTATCTCGACTATTGTAAAAATGCTTCAAAAACGATAAATTGTTAATCAATGAAACTTTGAGTGCCGAAGTTACTCGTGAAAATGTTGTATGTATAAAACTGAGAACTACATATTTTAAAAAATGCTACGTGTTACCGAATATCATCGTAACAACATTTTATAAATCACGTCTTGTCTATATAGCTTACAAAATTGAATTTAAGAGGATATGCTATAGCATGATGACGACGGAATAACGACGAGAAATTGTAACATTACTCGGATCGCAGACGTGTTTCTTCGTAGGAGTGAGATATTAGGTAAGGAGTGCATTCTGCATTCTCGGAACGGTCGACTCGAAGGTTAATCAATGCTGGAAGTGGTGACGGATCGTGAGAGGAGCGGTCGTAATCGTTCTACGAATGAAAAAGGCCACTGGTTATTTTTAAGTCGTTTTTTAATAATTTCGATAAAAAATGATATAAATCGGATACTTAATAACAATGTAATAAGTATTATAAACAAGGTGACTAAATACAAATGTACAAGTTGGTATTTTTAACGTTACTTCTTGTTAGCATCTTTTTCTTCCTTTCCATTATGTATAGCTGAAACTTAGGAGTCTAGACTCGATAACTTAAAAGCGTATGTCTTACGTGTATCCCTCTCTCCGTCCCGACGACGGAACTTCGCGATGTTCCGGCTAAAAAGGAGAAACAGAAAAAGCGCGTATTCCCCGCGCGGACAGAAAGTAATAAACGAAGGAGGATTGCGATTTCCGGCGGAAAGTGGCTCCGGCAGCGGCCCCTCCCCTCTCCCTCTCCCGTGCTCGCGTAACGTACGTAATCGATGCTAAGAAGAGTAGCAAAAAGAGACCAAGTAGAACAAGAGAAAATGAGAAGAAAAACGAACGAGCGACGCAACAAAACGTGCGCGGGTCGGCGCAATATAATCGTACACTTAGTCTCATGGACGCTTTATTATTCGACATATCGATAGTAACTAAACTTTTGAAATGTCACTTCTGCCTTGAACGCGTTCCCACTTCTTTAATTCATCAACAGTCATAGGAAACGCGTAACTAGAAACGACAAAAGTCTTCAGTCGCTATCGATATATATCTATAGTATAGCATCCATAAGATTGAGTGTATAAGTAGAAGAAGTACGGCAAGAAGAATGAAGAAGATGACCTCTTCCCGCGTGTCGATCGCGAGAAAGTAAAGAACCGACCGGCTATATCGCGAGATACGAATTTCTTTGTGTGTGTGTGTGTGTGTGTGTGTGTGTAAAAATATCGTGGAAAAATTTACGGCATTCTCTTTCTTCGAAACAGTTACTCCTGCCTCTCGCTTTTCTCTTTTTTTCTTTTTTTAAATATATCGACTTTTCGCCATGAAAAATAGACATCTCGCGGCTGAGATCAGGTTTTTCAGCGCGTTACGTATCTCGATTAGAGGTGAATTCTATTTTGCTTTCGGAGCGAAATGTTCGCCTTCGCACGAGTATAATATTGCACTTTGGTGTACTCTCTCTCTCTCTCTCAATCTCTCTTTCTTTCACTCTCTCTCACACAATATCTCTTTCTCTCGTACTCTCTTTCTCTCTCGCGAAAGGCTGCGTTTTTACATTCGCTTTTGTTTTTTTATTTGGAACAACGACAACGGCATCGTCGAGAAAATCATCTGCGCTGGGTGTTTTGTACAAAGGAAAGTAAAGCATGCGGAAAAACCTGCCGGCGTTCTCTCGTGTATCGATATACAAGCGATTACATGTCACGCGACAAATGCCTAAGGTACACGAATGCATTACCTGACCATAGATATTACATGTCAACCGTAAATAATGGCGACCGATAGTGATAACGATTAGCTCTCGATAAACCTTATTACATGTACACCAAATATAACTGCGGCACGCGTCGCAAACGAGGCGCGCCCTTGAAATATCAAAACATCCCTCTTCCACCCTCCCTTCCTCTTCTCTTCCTCTCTCACTCTCATTTCTCATCCTCCTGCGACATTCTCAATTGGACATATATACACGCTAAGAATTTGTTAGAAACTACTACACATCTACTTATCGCTCTCGTTCATACGTACAAATACACACACACATATATACATATGTCTGTATTTATATGTATGCACACATATGTATGTATAATATTTATATACGAATACAACGCGTACATACTCGAGCCGTCTCTGATTCGAGAATCGCCGCGACTTTAACAAAACGTTCACGCGTCCACGTGTGAAGGATACAATTAAAACTATTTAAGTTATAGAGATCTAGTGGTAGAGTTAAATAAATTAAACACCAACTCCAACATAAAATTAAATTACAAGGGAGAGGGGGAGAGAGGGAGCACTACTCATTTATCATTAAAATCTCAAAGCTATAATCAACGAGAAGAAGGAAGAAGCTAATCATTGCGGCGGACGCGTTTCAGTACATCTGACAAAATCGCGTCGAGATCGATTGCACGGCATCGCGACGACTCGAAGGTCCGGCTCGAGTGCGCGCGCACGCCTAAGTGTAAGTGTTATCCAATGAGATTTTGTCGAAAATTGAAAAACCCTAATCGCAACGCGAAGAACGCGCGCGTCGTCGGTGCGACTCGGGGCGATCGCCGAGGTGTTGTATCAGGCGCGCGCACACACACCTACACACACATACACACACATACGCACACGCACACAGGGCTTACGATTTATTTGAGCAGCGATTTGTAAGCGGAGGCGCGGTGCGCTCCCGCGTCATCCATTCCGCGCGTTTTTCCGCGACACAGCGACAATACGAGGGCTGTATGATAAGTACCCGTGTTAGGGAAGGAAACGCATTTAAAAAAAATTTTTTTTACTTATTTTTCAACGTAGTCTCCTTTCAGTTCGATACACTTAATCCAGCGATATTCCAACGTTTTTACACCATCCAAAATTTGTCGAACTCCGCAAAATAGGTCTCTGTTTTGGCAGTGACTTTCTCGTTTGACGTGAGCCACTTTTCGCCAAGCCATTTTTTCATGTTTGGAAATAAATAGAAGTCGCAGGGGGCCAAATCTGGAGAATAGGGTGGATGAGAGAGCAATTCGTAGCGTAATTCGACTAGTTTTGCTGTGGCGATTGCGGACGAATGAGCTGGTGCGTTGTCATGATGAAAGAGCACTTTTTTTCGCCAAATGGGGCCGTTTTCTCTTCAATTCAGCGTCGAATCGGCCCGATAAATCAGCATAGTACTGCCCCGTGATTGTCCTTCCCTTCTCCAAATAGTCGGTGAAAATGATGCCTCGTGAATTCCACGAAAAACGGTGGCCATGATCTTTCCAGCCGATGGAACCGTTTTTGCCTTCTTTGGAGCAGGTTCGCCGGGTGAAGTCCACTGTTTTGACTGTTCTTTCGTTTTTGGCGTGTAATGATGGATCCATGTTTCGTCAACAGTGACGAAACGCCGCAGATAGTCTTTCGGATTGCGCTTAAATATGTCCAAACAGTGCTCCAAAGCTGTCATGCGATTCTGTTTTTGTTCCACTCTGAGCAAACGCGGCATCCATCTCGCCGATAACTTTCTCATGCCCAATTTTTCGTGTAGGATATTTTTTACGTGTTTAATTGAGATATTTACAATATCAGCAATCTCTCTGATCTTCACCCGGTGGTCTGCTAACATGATATCATGGATTTGTTGACCATATCCTTCGTAGTCATCTCGGACGACATGGGCGCTCTTTATCAAAAACGGATGTTCGGCCACGCTTAAATTCATTAAACCAATATCTGATGGTAGTCATCGAAGGTGCATGGTCTTTATAAACGGGATGCAACTTTACTTTGATTTCCTTACACGTCTTCCCAGCCAAAAAAAGGAATCGAATCACTGACCGATATTGCACTTTTTCCATGGTTGCAAACAAATACAAACTTGTCCACTTTCAACAGTTATCAAAACAAAACTACTCAATAAATCTGTCTGAAATTTTGACTGGCATCGTTCGGAAGATGGCGTTAAATGATGGTATACAGACTTTGAGTCAGTGACGCCATCAGTCGTTAAGCATGGGTACTTATCATACAGCTCTCGTATGTGTGTGCGTGCGGGGAACGCGCAACATTTGGTACGTAACGCGTTTATCAGAGATCGGACAATGGAAAGAAAACAAGGCTCGCGCCGAGTCCTGCCGACGACGCGCGGTATTTCCGTGAAGATAAAAGGCGGCGTGTTGCAGCGCGAAGAGAGCAAGAAAATACGAACGCGATTGGGAGACGACGACGCGTGTCAACGCGCGTAACTCCAACAACTTCCGTGTATTCTCCTCGCGCTTATCGTCCGATAATATACGCGCGTCGCGTAATAATAATTGAGAATACACGCGGGCGAGCGAACGAATCGCGGTTCTTCGTTCCGTACAGCGCGAACTTCCAGAGAGAACGTCTGAAGAACGCTTCGCATTCCCTCAAAGCCCTCAGCGTTTAGAAGCCCTCAAGATGTCCCCTGGAAGTCTACGCTGCCCGGCTCGAATTCGTGAAGTCGATTATCGACGTGTAACTCGAGAATCATGCCGAGAACGGCTGACGCACGTTCAAGGGTAATAAAGTGTTTTAGACTAAAGTTTGCATATTGATTTATATTCCACGACCGATGCCACTTTCCGCTTGTCATTTTTCCCGGAAGCCAGAAGAAATCACGTTCGCCAAGGGTTGATAAGGGAATCGACAAGTATACGTCGCGCGAAGTCGCCTGTCCTTGTCATAAAGCACCATCGCGTAATTCTTTCCATCCAAGTGGAAACACGAGGGGAAGAATTTTGAGCGACCGAATCTGATGGAAGCACTGAATCCGCCACGTTCTCGCGACGGGTACCGATTCTACAGGAAAATTACAAGAAAAGTAAGAAAATGAAAAAAACGTCAGCATCATCTTGCGTTCTTCGCGGCGCCGCGACTTGTCTCTCTCTTCCTTTTCTTTGATATACAACTACGTATTCTGCTTCATATATATATATACACATGCATACACACACACACACACACATATATATGTATACTTCATATATATCTATATATGTATATACATACACTCTGTAACACTTGCTGTGAACTCTTCCTCTTTTCCTTGGTCGCTTCCGCAATATAAGTGTGTGTGTATATATAATGTATACATCCATCGATTAGAGTCTCTTTCTCGCTCTATCGTACTCGCTCGCATACGAAATTCCCGCTCCTATTATCCGCTCCAAGAAAGAGAGGCGGACAAGTCTCTTTTTTTCCCCAGCCCTGGTCTTCAGCGCGAACTTGCGGTCGTAATACGGATGCGTGTCCAGACGAAGTTTCACCTGGCGAATAATAATGCGATCTCACGCGGTGCCGGGCATAAATTCGCGAACACTCGGAAAAAGTTGATCAAACTTCGAATAGTGTAAAAAAAAAAACAAAAAGAACAGTGACCCCCACGCGAGCCGGTTCTTCACGTGCCAAACGATCTTTCTTCTCTTCTCTTGATCAGAGAGATACGTGCATTATCATTTGCGTCGGAGAAACCCGGTGATGTATGGTGTGTCGCGTCGAACGTACAGAACTGATGATCTTTATATTCTCTCTGTCTCTCCCTTTCTCCTCCCCAATTTCTCGCAAGCGCTCGTAAATCAGCGATCATCGCCGGTGCTTTTCATTCCGGTGCCGTTGGTTTGTTTGTCCTTCTTTTTCTCTCCCTGCGTTCACCGAGCCGTTGCGAGTCTTCTATCGTACGGGTTTCGAATTCACTCGTTCAAGATCATTCGAATCTCATCGCTAACGTCGCTACCCGGTGTCCTCTACATTTCGCTTCAGCGTCGAAGAATTCGGTCTGCCTCTCTGTGTCCATGCGCGAACTCACCTATAATTGCGTTCCGAAAGAAAGAGAGAGAGAGAGAGAGAGAGAGAGAGAGAGAGAGAGAGAGAAAAGAGAAAAAGAGAGAGATCGGGGCCTCTCATGCGTGCGAACTGCGACCCGACTACACAACGACAGGGTACTTGTGTACATATACATACATGCACACGCAGGTACACGCGGCGATATGCGTTGCGTACCTTATCATCGATCTCTATCCGCGCAAACAATGGCTTTCACGGAGCCACAGAGCGAGTCGCGAAGGAGAATTAAGCGCTAAAAGGTGGAGCTCGGCGGGCCCGCGGTCGGTTTTCTTCTCTTGTACGAGGCGTCGCTTCATTCTTTCTCACTCTTTCCTTCCTTTCTTTCTCTTTCTCTCTCTGTTTGCACAAGTGCCCTTCGTCGCCGTCGCGTGCACTCGGCTGCAAATTACTCGAGCAATTTATGATATTTGAATTCACATCCGTCGCGACGACTCGTCACCGCCGTCTTAAAAAGCCTCGAAGAGTTGCCCCTCCGACAGCTCGTGTTAGATCGCGTTCGTTGCTTTCTTCGTGCGGTGGAGAGTTGTCAATGTTTCGGCCGATCACACGCGACTCCCACGGCAACCTCGGGAGCTGGATAGTCGTCGTGGTCGTCGCGATTCGATAGTTTTGCTCGCTCGTCCTCCCCATCAACAACGAAAAACAATTGTCCCGACGCAAAGAACAGCTGCTTATTGCGTGCGAATAGCAAAGAGACGCGCGTTTCCGCCGACTGTCGCTGCGCGCGTGCAGCAGTTTTGATCGTTGCATCTTTGTGGCAGTTATTCCTCTTCTTCCTCTTCTTCTTGGCGACTTGATGCGCGCGCGCGCGCAACAATGAGTATATCGCGACTACATCCTACGACTATGAGCGATGGACGCGTCGGCATTACGTGGCTCTTACTTGTTGATATGTGACGCTGCGCTCACGACGATGGAGAAGCGTCCGTTTGCGCAACCACTTGATCGGAATCGACGCAGTAATCCGGGGGAGAGATGTGTTCAAGTGCACCCGCATCTCTCTCCGCGATGCGATGGTATCCTCCCTTCCGCCTCTCCCGATCGCGAGAGATCTCTCCTTCTGTTCTGACCCTTGTATCCCCCCCCCCTCGCGATCGCCTCTACCCCTACCCACTCTTCCCTCCCGTCGTCCGAGAATCAACATCCGACCATCCCTCTGAGCTTCCTGAGACGTGCCCCCAAGTCAAGGAGACGAGAATTTCGGAGCAGCCGCACTCGTAATAATTGTTATTGCGCTTCTCGTGTAAATAGCTATCAACACTAACAGTTTTATATCTTTGTTCCTCTTGGCCCTGTATATGACTTTTGTACGCGAGTTTCCAGACTGGAGTGGTAGGCACTGTGTTCCTTTTTGTATTTTGTCCTTCTCAGGTCTGTGTTTCGGCTCTTTTCTAATCCCTTCCCTTCCCTCTCTTTTCCTTTCCCCGTACACCACTCATCCGCTCGCCGAGAACGAGCTGTCCGCCCTCGAAAGATCATTCCCCGAGAAAAATCTCCCTCCGCGCTCCTCCTCGAAAAAAAAAAGAAAACAGAGGCGGCGAACAATTAACACTGCGACACGCATTAATTGGCGCAGCATGACGGCGCGCTCGTCGGCGCGAGTTCGTGAGAAAGAGGAAGATAACAAAAAGAAGATGAAGATAGGCGGTAATCTCTGCCGGAGCGCGAAAATTCTCGCCGAGCGACCTTATCTGTATCCCAACCCTCCGACCGAAGAGATAACACACCAACGCACCACGTGGGCTCGTTTCTTTCCCCGCACTGCAAAGGACGATCGCCGAATCCGAACGTGTGTGAACACACCGGCGGTGTCTCGTGCCGCTCTTGTCCTTTTCGCGCCGATCGACGTGAGGCGCGCGTTCGCCGCCGAGTCGATCCTTCCTTTCCTTCGCCTCGTGATGGTGATCCCGCCGGCGATATATCGACGCCGTACTGGCGGTAGGTAGGTAGGTAGTAGCAGTATACAAAGTAATGATGGTAATAGCGGCAATAATAATCGTGTAGTGTAGTGTTACAAAAAGTGATAATATTACAGTTACGTAAAATAATAATAAAAACAAAATATTGTAATTACGATTACAAACATAATTATGAAAAAAAAAATAAAACATAATTATGAAAATAAAAGTAATAATATTAATAATAATATTAATAATAATAATATATATAGGGGAACAACATTAATCAATACGAACGTTAATAATCAAAGAGAGAGTGTGTATGAGGAAGGAAAGGGACGAAGGGAGGACGCAAAAAAGACTTTAACGAGAAGTGGAGAAAAAAGAAGAAAACAATGGTAGTGATTTCGCTGGTGTCGACTGGCGATAGTCACCGCGATTTTACGAATATAATGATTAACCGCTACGCTATATATACATATATATATATATATATATATATATATATATATATATATGTGTGTAATAAAGATACCATGAGATCAAGTGTTTGATATATCGATAACCGCGCGCGCACGCGCGCGACCAAGCGTGGCTCGCTTACCTCGCTTTTCACATCGTCTCGTTTCTCTCCCTCTCTCTCTCTCTCTTTCTCTTTCTCTCTCACTCACTTCGTCTCACTTTACCACGCTCGCACGCTCGCTGCTCGATCGCCGCCAACGTCGCCGCTAGATCTTAACCGCTAGATCTAGCGCCGGATCGTGCGCACGATCGATCGGAGAAACGCTCGCGTTCCACTACCATCCTCTGCCCCGTTCCCGATCGGAGAGACGAGCTACCACCATCTACCTTCCTCTCTTTCTCTCTCTCCCCTTCCTCCTACCTCTTTCTTTACTTTCCTCTCGACGAAATCGCCCGCGAATCGACCCGCAGTGTGGTGAGCCCTTCGAGTCGTTGCGCGCGAACTTTGTCCTTCCCTTCCAGGATATTTGACACCGAATCCTGAGATCACAGTGTTCCATGAATCGCGGGATCCGACGATCCGCGCAATCCCGCGATCGGAGGACTCAGAGAGAGACAGAGAGAGAAGCTTGAGTGTCCTTGATACGCGAAAAAAAACCGTGGAGTCATTTATTCGCGATCGAGCCGCGAGTGCCTCCTCGGCGGTTTTGCGGGCCGTTCGCAGGAGCAGGGGATCTGAGAAGGATTCAACCAGGTTATAGGGATCTGAAAAACCAAGGATCTCGCGGCTCTCGTCCGAATATATCCGGAGAGATGGATGTATCCGTCAAGAGAGAGAAAGAACGAGAGCGAGAGAGAAAGAAAGAGAGAAAGAGAGAGGGGAGAACGCGAAGGTGTTCCGAGAACTCTGAGAATATCATCCCGAGGACGTATCCTGTCGTGCGTCTCGCGTCGCTGATCCAGGCGCATAACACACATCGGAAAGGCTGTCTCGAGACGAGATCCACGTGAGATCGGGACCGTCCGCGCACGCGGATCGATCGATCACTGGGCATGCCAATCGTTCTTCTTCTCACTTATTTTCTTCACCCGAACCGACGACGACGACGACGTTCTCTCTTCGGAGGAGCGCGTTGATATCGTTATTGCCGCCGTCGCTCCTCGCGGGAGAACTATCTCTCTTTCGTTCACTCTCTCTTTCTCTCTTTCTCGTCGACGTCGCGATATACCCGCATATTACGCATCCTTCAACATCTACTTTGTTATCGATACACGCATTATATCTCCCTACGAGCAACATCGAGCGCGACTTGGCGCCGACCGGCGACGTTCTCCCTCGTCCGCAAAGAATTTTGCGTTGGAATCAGTCGTTACTTTCCCTGGGTCTTACTAGATTACTCGGTATCTCTCGAATCTTCCAGTTTCTCATTCCGACGAAGCGACTTCGCGACCGCTTCACACGCGCGTTGATTGCAATCCTTGGGACACGCGCTTTTTCGCGTTCGCTCATGAATCGCGAGTGATGAGTGCGAATTAAGACACGGCAAATACAAACAGATCGACAAAGAAAAACGAAAAATCATTCCTCTCTCAAGAAAAAGCCCCTTCCGTCTTTCAATCTTCTCTTAAACGACAAAATGGAGTCTCACAACAGTGACATCGTATATTTTTCAATACAATCCACTGAAATTTTTTGATACGTCTGCGCCAAAGCCAGATACCATATTGACAAAATATTTTTAACCGATAAGTTTGCTCTTTTTTTTATTAAAGTGCCGCTTATTTAATCCAATACAAATTTTAAAATACAGAAGAAAAACTCAAGAAATGTTGAAGTCACACATTCATCTTATTGTTTATGTTCCACAATTTCATCTTGTCGTTTGGTTAAGAAGCACGCGTTTCACCATTTGGTGAAACCCCGGAAAAATCCTCCCAAAGAAAAAACTCAAAAACTAACTTCTTCGAAGCCGTCGAGGAGATGAAATTATTCATCCCTCCACCATGCACTTCGACGTCGACCTGCCGTTTCGACTCGCTCTGAGGCGAGAAGTACGCACTCGATCTCTCGCGGATGAGGATCGGACAGCCGCGTTCGGGCGTGAAACACGTGCTGGTGGCCGGATAAGCGAAGAGAGCGGGGAGGCGCGAGAGCCGCCTGGTGGACGAGAAAAAGCGTCGATTTGAGCGGCGAACGCGGAAGGAACGCCGCGGCCGGTCGGCGGCGGGCGCGCGATTTCATCCGCTATTGCCCGCGGTATCGGTTCGCTTACACGCTACGAAGAGTTATATATTACTAATGCTACGCGTTTATATTCGGTATACACAAAAAAAATTGCGGGGGCCGTCGTAGGCCGCGCACGCGGCGACCAGGAGTCCTGCTCCACGTGGGGCGAACCACACCGGAGCGAATTTCGCTTATTTCGCGTTCGTCATCGCCGGCAGTTGTGCTGTCGTCGTCTGCTGGGCCGCCTTCGAGTCGCGGCCTTGCGACCGCCCACGCTTTATTTATTTATATATATATATATATATATATATATATATATATATATATATCCATATATATATGAAACCCCGGAAACACACATATATATATATATATATATATATATATATATATATATATATATATATATATATATATATATATATCGATTTTCATACAAAAATCTTACTAGCTAGTATACTACAGTACATATACAAAAAGAAGAAGAAAAAACGCCCGAGAGCGTCGCGCGCCGTGGACACGTGTTGGCGTCCAACTATAACTGCACGTCTGAATTGCCCAACCACGCGCGGAATGTACCGCGTGTGAGTGCCGTCGCGGCGATGACTGAAGGAAGATCGGAGAGCACGATGTCGGGAGAAACGTCGATATCTCACCGCGGCCACCCGGCAAATTGGCCGGATATTCAGGCAAAAATAATCATGTTTTGGCGCGAAAGAAGTAAAAGCAAAGTAAGATAAATGCTAAAGATTATTACACTTCATCGAATAATGAGAGATAATTGGCGATTTCGGGACTGTCGGCATACTAACGAGTGCGATTCGCACGCGAGGCGCTTTGCCTTCGGTCGAATGTCAATTCTAGTGCTCGTTGTGACAATCGACGCCCCTCCGTCGCGGCAGAAGTCTACGAAATTCCTCGGGAAACTAACGCGTCCTCGCAACCCGATTCTCTTTTGTGCAGCGACACACTACTAGAAAAATAAAATAAATCACTGGTAGCGTCCTCAAGGGCTGACTACAACTCAAAAGTAAACAATCTCAGCCTGGACATAAAAAACACCTTCGTCGAGCTCTCCGGAACTTATGTATCTCGCGAAGGACAACACACCGCCACGGTGCGCGATCGCGCGTCAGGACGACGGGAGAAGATGTCCCCCTCGAGAGCACGAAAATACAAAAGACGATGACACGCGCGATGACGACGGATGGCTGCCGTCAAGCGACTTGGGGCGTTTTCGCGGAACAACCGGTCGGAACGTGACCTTCGGACAGCGCGGGCAAGTTTTCCCTTGTGTTCGCGACTGTACCTAGGTCGGCGCGTCTACGACGCGATCATAACTGGCGAGCGAGACGCTTACAAACCAAATCTTAGCGGTGACGACCTCGTCGTCGTCCCTTTGTTCCTTTCCGTCGCCTCTTCGTCGATCTTTTAAAAGTTGACCCACTCGCCGTTTATGTTGCTGATGTCGGACAACATGTCTGTGACGTCCGGTGTGCAGGAGAAGGTGTCGAAGTGCGTGCTGCTGGCGGAGCTGGATGTATCGTAACTGTCGAGCTCGGTTTCGAGCTCAAGATCCATGTCAGAAGAGTGCAGTTGCAACAGGTCGAAATTGTAGAGCGCAGCGTCGTCCATGAGTTCCTCGAGTTTGACCACCGTGGTACCGTCATGGGTGAGCGGATCATCGAGGGCAGCCATCGAGTTCGCCGTGGATATCGGCACGGTGACCGGCGCGATCGTCGCCGTGATGGAGGCCGTGCTAGCCGTCGGCATCACCGTCACCGTCGGCATCGCCGTCGCCATGAGAACAGGCGACATGTCGTGAGGCGACAAGGCCGACGCCGATGAGAGCGACAAGTGCGAGGCCATGATCGGCGTCGACGGCAGCACGGGGGACATGTGCGGCGACATGGCCGGCGTCGACGTGAGAACCGGCGACAGGTGCGGTGACAACGTCGGCGTCGGCGTCGTCGGGCTGCCTGTGACCATCACAGATGGCGGTGTCCTCGTCCTTGGCAGGGGATACGACTCCGACGGCTCCTCCTTCACGTGGAATGTCGCCTGCTGTTGCTCGAGATTGCCGGAGTCGCGGCCGTACTCCCTGCTTCTGGATATCACCGACGACATGTCCAAGGACGACGATCCGAGCAGCCGATCTTTCGACGGAAAACTGGTCTTGTAGTCCATCTCCATATCCGGCTCTTGCTTGATCTTCGCGGCCAAGCCGCACATGCCGGACGACGTGGTCGCGCACTCCGGGAAATTGTCGTCGTAGAAGCTTGCGGACTCGGGAGAGTCCGGGGTGTCGCAGGATGGACTGCTCGGCACCTTGGCGGTGACGATGGGTGGCGCGGGGGTGTAGTCCACGTGAGCGTGATCCATGGCCAGCTTCACTTTCAACCTGGATATGGGCCTGCTGCTAGAATGCGATTGCAGTCTCTTTACCGACGTCGAGTGGTGGTTGTTGTTCGTGTCGTTCCTCGTCTTGTGACTAGTGGAGGTCGCCGAGCTTGGCGACAGGGACAACGGCGAGATGCCGAGGATGCTGCCGGAGGTCGCCGAGCTGCTGGACGACGGCGATGCCGACGAGGATGACGATGTCGACATCGACGAGGACGACGACGTCTTTCGTTTCTTGCTTTCCTTCGTCTTGGGCGCTGGCGCTGGTTTCGAGGTCTTTTTTCTGGGCCGGTACTTGTAGTCAGGATACTCCATCATATGGAGTTTCCTGAGCCGCTCGGCCTCTTCGATGAAAGGTCGCCTTTCCGACTCGGACAACGTTTTCCACACTCGGCCCAAACGCTTGCTGATCTCAGCATTGTGCATGTCCGGCTGCACTTCGCAAATCTTCCTGCGCTCGATCTGCGACCACACCATGAAGGCGTTCATGGGCCGCTTGATGTGGTTCGGATTGTTCTTCTTCGTCTGCAACAGAGAAACAAACAAGTGCTCGTTTGGTCAGCTGCTTTTGTCTACGTCCTAATCTGGTTATTATCGGTGAATGATGTTGGAAAAACATCTCTCCGTGTTTACATGCATTCATTTCGAGACGCGCTTTTACATTTCGTTGACGGTAACGTGTATCGCACGCGAAGCACCCTGATCAAAATTGTCTACAAGTTGTAAACAAACTATACACAGAGCGCTATTCTTTTAAATAGCAGTCTGACAATTTCTCCAGATGTCGAGGAAAGTCATTGTTAAAAGCGACTTTACAATTTACAATATCTGCACTTGGGTCTTAAACTGAAATTCTATTAAGGTCAAATCATTTTCGCCAAGGAAAATTCGTCAACTTTCCATAAAGAATATCCCTGCGTGAATAGCGAGTGTGATATAGTTTTTACATCCTGTACAAACGCTATCTCCTCGCAGGTGTTCTCACCTTCAAATTACTTCCACACAGAAAAGAAGATCCCGTGAGTCATGTCGACGCGGTATATCTGAGGCCGAAAGCGCGACGCGATTGTGATTATCAGCCTACGATACATCGCGTATTAGCTGACGCGACCTTCGTGTTAGACGAACACGAGGAGCCGGAAAGAGGGGCAGGGGGAGGGAAGAGGGGGAGGGGGAGGCCACCGAACGTGGGACGCACGGGACGCTGAATGCGGGTCGCGGCTTCTTTCTTCTTCCTCCTCATTTTTTTTTTGCCTCTCCGCCTCCTTGCCGGGCGCGATCGCATCCTCCGATCGTGTATCCGAAAACGGACGTTTTGCGCGAGACGACGGTGAAACGAGCGACGGCGGAGACCGAGCACGACACCCGTAATAAAGTGAGCGGCTGTGCTCCCGTTTCGTCGTAATTTCCGACATTACGCTACAAAGAAGCGGGCGCGACACGGAAAGGCTCGCCGCCGTCTCGTCACGAATCTCCCCTCTGTACGCGCATACGTGCGTGCACATGCGTGCGTGCGTGCGTGCGTGCGTGCGTGACGTATCGACACGTTATTCACAATTAGCCCGCAGCTGACGGAAGCGGGTGACCAAGGCCGGGCCGAGAGACAGACTCGCATCTCAACTCGATGGCCTTCGCGAACTTGGCGGAGAACGATCAAGTGTACGCGTGTCTCTCTCCGTATGTGTGTGTGCGTGTACGCAGCTCCGGGCTACACGCCGCGGGTAACACACGGCTTCCCGCGGGCCCGTCACCGCGTGACAAACCGCACGAACGGCGTATCTCCGCGCGTAATCCCGCGTAAGGCCCGAAGAGGTTCACAAGTGGAGATTGTGATCGAGCGCCGAATGTCGATCTTGCGGTATCCCGACCTCGACCTTTGCACGCCGCCCGTTGACGTCACTCGCGGTATGCGTTCGGCATCGGGATTCGCGAATTTTCAAGGTGCGCGCTCCGACGCGACCTTAACAGCGAACCAACACCGCCGAAGGCTACTTCTTCATCCTCTTCCGTCGAAAAGTGCGCGCCGCAAGGCAGCGTAGAGTTAGCTTGTCCTCGTCTCGTTCGTCGATACGATACAGCATTTGGTCAAACGCGGTTCAGATATCCTAGATCGACACGCTAGATCGATGAGACACTCGAGAGAGTGTCGAGTTATTAATTAAATAATGGGAAGACGATGACGAGAAACTCTCATCAGTGTTCTCCTCTCGCTCTCGAATAAAACCATCTTATTTCTTAATATATTCTTGATATATTTCACACGTTTTTCTTTCCTTCATTTATTTATTAACGAGAAAAGTCCGAGCTGTCCATTTTCGTTTCGCAAAATCTCGAACGATAAATGTTTAGAAATATACAGTTATGTCCGATTAGATGAATTTTAACGTATGTTGTAAAAATAATAGCTTTGAGTAACAATCGAAAGACTAGCTAATTTTTTATTAAAAAGTTACTAATAAATGAAGTTTTCCGTTAATAGAACTTTTGGATCTCGCGTATACATTTAGAATGTATATGCATGATCGGGAATGGGAACTCCACTCCGTAAAGGAACTAACCTAATTCAATCTGTGTCACTTGAATATTGGTATATGTTATCAATATATAAATCTATTATAATCTATATATAATTAATGGTAAAAAATACATGCACATGTACGTCCTTTGATAACGTATGCTAATATCCAAGATTAGGAAAGTTTGGGTTAGGTTAGTTTTTCGTGGGATGTCTCCCGTTGCCTGCGCAAGTACTAAATGTGCATGCAAGTGTTTTAAATATACACGGAGTCTAATAGTTGAGAACTACGGAAATTTCACTTGTTAATAACTTTTAAATGAAAAATAAGCCAAAATCTTTAGACTGTTACTTGGAGAGCTGTGACCTCGTTGTGTCGAAATCAAGCTAATTAGTGCTGGCTGCGCATTTCTAAATGCTTAGCCCTCGAAGAGACAGCCCGTGGCGTGACCACCGCCGATTCCCGGAATGCCGATTGAAAAACACCGATAGCGACCGCGGAATCAACATACGGAATGACGGCCGCGTCCCTCGTTTGATTCGTCGATCAACGCTCTTCCGCGATCGTGATCGCCGAGGTGCAGAGACGACGGAGATAGAGATCCATAGATCAATCGCGAGCTCGCCGACGCGGCGCGGCGCGTTATCGCTGGGAAAGGAAGAGGAAGAGGAAAAGCCGCGCATTGTCCTTTTTGGTCGCGTGCGAACAACGCGAGAAAGGAAAAGAGCGAACGGGAACCGCGTGTAGCAAAGCCGACGACGACGACGACGGCGACGATGGCGGCGGCGGCAGAGGCCCAAGGATCGTCGGTGACGCACAAACGACGACGAGTCGCTCTTGTAAATCACCTCGTCGCTTCCTAGTCGCGACCGTGAAACACGGAATTGTCATTTGTGTCGCGAAACGTGAGAAAGTTTCAAATGGGTCGGCCGCGAACGAGCTCTGCCATCGGCTTCTTCACGGCCGACCTGAACATGTGACGTCGCGGGGCGCTTCCCTATACGCACCGAGGCTGCTCGACAATGACGCGTTTAACGCACGCGGCGCGTCCTCCTCGTGCAAGCTCTTGCACTTCGCGAAAACACGGACGACGCTCTTCGGATCGTAGGACGAAGAAGAAATAAAGATAATGCAATGAATAATAAAGTAAAAGGTTCAAATGATGTACAATCAAATATATAGGGAAAGCGCAAGATGTATGGGAAGAGTTTAATGTGATTTAATATTATATAAAAAAAACTTTAAACGCACTTAAAAAGGCTTTTTAATGTAATATTAAATCATATTAAATTTTTCGCATACGACATTGTGCTTGGCTCCCATTGGCCTTTCCCTATTTATTTCATAATTCAATGATTATGCTGCTAAGCTTCTCTTTGAAATCTCAATCACACGGAGGACGTTGTCGGAGAGCCAATGCAGGTTGATAGTTGCGAGTGCATAGCCTGTTACTTATAGGAGAATAGAATTGCGTTTGCCTGTCAATCTGCTTCGGCAGGCTCTTGTAGAGCACGATAATATCTCGTAAGAAGAAAAAAAGAGAAAGGACTAAGAAAGAAAGCTCAGATAGGTCGCCGCAAAAACATTATGCATACTTTGCACGTCGCTGTCTCCGCGACTTAGTGACGCGCGTCGCACATAGATATATCGCTCGGCGATAAAATCAACGCTCATTATAAAGTTAATAAAGAGCGATGACTATTCACATCTCGCCGATGGAAAAAGTAAATGTATGTATCGCGCGGCCCTCGCGCGCGCGCACGTTTACCTCGCTGTCGCGATTACCCTAATTGACCGTATAAATATCTAGACGGTAACCTCTAATTGGTTAAATGCCCGATAACCATATAGCCGAGCAGAGCCGGCCGACCGGTCCCGCGCGATCGTCGAGGATGATTATTCGGCTCAACGAGTTACAACGCCGTCGTCCTGCTGAAATTCGGCCGCGGTTCTCTCTCTCTCTCTCTCTTGCGCGCGCGCGCTCGCGATTCGATTTATGTAACATCCCGGCGCGTCCCGCGGAATATCTGGCGCAACACGTCGTATATCGGAGCGACCGATCGTTTCGACGAGCTACACGCCGCAAAAATGAGAGAGATATCGTCGGCCAGATGATCGGCGTAATGGATTCTCCCGGGAACGGGAGAGGAAGGTGTGTGTGTGTGTGTGTGTGTGTGTGTAAAGAGAAGAGAGCGCGAGAGGTGCGAGCAGCGATATATACAGCCCGAATTCTCGGGGCCTCAACAAAATGTCGGGGCCGCCGTCGAGGTGGGGGTGAAATTCTTTGTGTGCCCCCGAGGGCTCCCACCACCAGCTGCGCGTAAATCATTATCCTTCGACCGCTTTTACCTGCGACCCGTGGAAATCGCGCGAGCTCGAGACCCAGCAAATCGAACGTGACCGTTTGCGCGCGCGAAAGAGAGAGAGGGGACAAGGGGATAAGAGCTCCTGCCGAAAAATATGGTTTCCGAAGAGGGATGAGAAGCGGGTGGAGCATCGTGGCTGAACGAGGCGTCGCCATATGTCCCGTTCGCGTTACGAAAGCGGCGTCCATAGAGTCATCTGAATATACTCAAGTGTCTCTACAGAACGGAGAGGACGTTAGTTCCGAGCCGTGAAGGATTGGTCTCGACACGGTTCCCCCGTCAACTGTGCCCGAAGAACACGACCAAAATATTCTACACAGCAGAGGACGATCGTCTAAGAAGAATAAGAAATACCTCTTCGGGTTAGGTCCCAAGACGCCCGAGGAAAATTTTACTGAGAAATTCCATAGCACGCTCGAAACTATAGAGTTTCAGGGAAATTTTCCTCAAGAAGGACGTAACCCTCGAATCGTATTTTCCCAGAAGGAGTACGACACATTTCAGTGAATTTATACGGTGAGATACTCGGGAACGGTTGCCAGTTCCTCGCAACGTGCTGATACGCGCGTCTAAAATGCCGGCCAGTAACTGCGCTTAGCCAAGTCTCAACAATGACAGCAATGACGACATTAGCCTTTCAGCC